ATTTGTTTTGCAGCATCATCTGCAATGTTATTTTAATATACTGCCGTGCTATAGCAAAAACTCCTTATCTTCAATATTACTTAAAAGAACATGTTCATTAATATTGTAGATATGGCATGTTTGCTAAGCACGGCAGTATAGGAATAGTAAACAACAATTATTCGCACCCTTTTCCCCGACACAAACACTGTTTTCACGGCAGTCTTCCTGCTCTGAGATGATACCAAAGAATGGCAACTTAACTAATATTAGCCAGATATTTATTTGAATAAAATATAGTTTAGTTCAGGTTACTAAATTATTTTAAGGAAAATTAATGTTTTATTTTCGTGCACTAAAACTCCATTCAATATACTCTCGACATTTTAGTTAAGGATACTAAGCATTATTTTTTGCAGATACCATTATTACTTCCAAAAAATAAATATTTTGTGGTAGCAGATAAATTTATAGGTAATCATTTTAATGTGATGTTTTTAATACACATAACTAAGATATAAGATATAAGATATAAGATATAAGATATAAGATATAAGATATAAGATATAAGATATAAGATATAAGATATAAGATATAAGATATAAGATATAAGATATAAGATATAAGATATAAGATATAAGATATAAGATATAAGATATAAGATATAAGATATAAGATATAAGATATAAGATATAAGATATAAGATATAAGATATAAGATATAAGATATAAGATATAAGATATAAGATATAAGATATAAGATATAAGATATAAGATATAAGATAAAAGATATAAGATATAAGATATAAGATATAAGATATAAGATATAAGATATAAGATATAAGATATAAGATATAAGATATAAGATATAAGATATAAGATATAAGATATAAGATATAAGATATAAGATATAAGATATAAGATATAAGATATAAGATATAAGATATAAGATATAAGATATAAGATATAAGATATAAGATATAAGATATAAGATATAAGATATAAGATATAAGATATAAGATATAAGATATAAGATATAAGATATAAGATATAAGATATAAGATATAAGATATAAGATATAAGATATAAGATATAAGATATAAGATATAAGATATAAGATATAAGATATAGGATATAAGATATAAGATATAGGATATAAGATATAAGATATAAGATATAAGATATAAGATATAAGATATAAGATATAAGATATAAGATATAAGATATAAGATATAAGATATAAGATATAAGATATAAGATATAAGATATAAGATATAAGATATAAGATATAAGATATAAGATATAAGATATAAGATATAAGATATAAGATATAAGATATAAGATATAAGATATAAGATATAAGATATAAGATATAAGATATAAAATGGGAATAGGAAATACAAGTACACTAAAAAACTGTTAATAATGCATAAAAAGTGTACAGGTTATTTAATTTATAATAACACCTATTCAGTCACCTTTAACCTAGGTTATTATTATGTTAAACTTTCTCTGGTCGTCAGAAAGTCTCGTCTTTATATTACTTAATAAATAAATATATCAAGCCGTGTTAAGTTTCTATCGAGATTACCAAAATAAGATCGTAAATTTAAATAAATAAATGCTTTCTCTTTTTCTTTCATCTTGTACTTACAAATTACAACGTGGGTAAGTTATAATTTATATTGTTTTACAACATCTTCATTTATTTAAATTTTAAGTTAATCTTTTGTCATTATTATGTTTTTGCCTCACCATATAATTTTATTCAAATTATAAATAATTAGCTACAAATGTTCACATAAATAATCTCTTAAAATTTTATTGTTTCGATTAGATAATCATTTTCTGATTCTGTGCCAAATGATACACTATAGGAAGTTTGTTTCTGTTTGGTGTAATGCATTGCTGTGCTTTATTTCATTGCAATGCAAATTCTAAATAGTATATTATGTATCAAGTTTGATAAACGCCATTTTATATACGAATTTAATTTAGGCACGAGCGAGCTTGCGAGCGAGTGCTTAAGTTAATGAGTGTATAGAAAAGTTTATAAACGGGGTGCATACTATACTTTTTCAACGACAAATACTTATTATTATCTTAAATTGATTTAAATCAAAAATTTGTATAGAGCGCCATCTATGAAACAACAGGGGAAACTGTCAAATGTCACATTTTTACATTTTATAAACACAATTATAAAGGTTATAAATCGAAATGTATATTGAAAATTGACAGTTTTTTACAGTGAAAGTAAAGGAAATGTTTTATGAGGACTTTACAGTAGAGTCCGTGCCCGAATTTAAGTTATAGTTTATTGCCGGCGAAATTAAACGGTCAGTACAATGTTCATATAAACTTTTCAAATATTGGCGTTGAGAAACTATTTAATATTTTTGTATTTTTGTATTGAGATAATAAAATAATTTTCACATTTAGTATTATTTTACAAGAAAGGCACTTTATTTTAACGATTGTATGACATTTGACAACTGTCAACTAACGTAAAACTAACTTCAGCCCGTGACTAAAAACCTGTTGCTAACTTCAGCCTGTGACTAAAGCGCCGTAAAGCCACAACTTGTCAATGTATATTTAAAAGGTCACTTAGTGTCATGGAAACATGTACGATAAAGTACATAATTAACCAATAAATTAAGATTTTTAGACCACAAAAAAACAATGAGCCAACACAGATAAAAGTACCTAAATTATTAATTTAAGAAAATGCATTTATTTTAAACGGATAAAATATTCAAACAAAATAAACGCAAACCTTTTATAAACCCCATTAAAGTTTTTTGGTGCTAAAGTTGATTACATTTGTTTACCTATATGTTTTAGAAAAATGAGGTATCTATGTTTTTTACTGTTTTTGCTTTTATAGGTAGGTAAAATCGTATTAACTTCAATATTTTTTAGTTTGTACCAAGGTTAATATGGTTATACTTGAAAAAGGACATCTTTGGTGATATGTAAGCAAAGTGTTACACTTCGAAGATGTTGGTACACTTTGTGTTTTGTTTTGGTGTTGGGGAATATTTCCAATATTTAGTTAAAATGATTATTATTATAGTATGTATCAAGTTCGATACAGGCTATTTAACACAAATTTAATTTGGGAACGAGCGAGCTTGCGAGCGAGTGCTTAATTAAATAAGTGTCTAGAAAAGTTTATAAACAAGTCCCATACAGTACCTTCTCAAATAGATATACTTATTATTATCTAAAAGTGATTTAAATTATATATTTGTATATATCGACATCTATAAAACAACAGAGTAACCAATAATGTCAAATGTCAAACTTGTATGTATAAATCTAAATGCAACCCTTGAAAATGGACCGTTTAATCAAATATACAAGCAGTTTTTCACAGTAAAGGTAAAGAAAATGTGCTATTGGCACTCCACGGTAAAGTCTCCACTCTAAATTAGGTTAAATATAGTTTAGTCCCGGCAAAATTAAAAGGTCAGTACAATGTAACATTGTTCATATAAATGAAGATATATAATATATGAACATTGTTCATATAAAATTGCTTATTTAATTTTTTTGCAACTATGGTTTTGATTGAAAATGGTAGGACAAAAATTGTTGCTTAAGCAAAGGCCCGAATTTTTACGTTATAAAAAAGAAGTAAAACAGGTTCCTAAATAAGGTGAAATAGATATAAAATTAGGTTCTTAATATTGGTTGGCCCGTATTTTTGATTTATAAAAGAGTAAAAAAAATGTAATAAAATTAGGTCACATAGTTATAAAATTAAGTTATTATTTTAGGTGCCTAAATTTTAGGTACATTTTAGGTATAAAAATAACAATTTAGGTGCAAAAAAGTAAAAAAGGTAAACCAAAAATAAAAATAGTAGATTATGTCATAAGGAGTAGAAGTGACTCTTTTTGTGGTGAGTACAGAGATTGACGGCCGAAGCGTAGCTGAGGCAGGCAACTGTACGAAGGGCGTAATATAAATAGGATAAGCAATAGAATTATTTTATTTACTCATAACTTATGTGGTATAAAATTTTGGCTAAGAGCATGAAATTATTGATAAAAAGTAAAAAAACTTACATCGTGATTGCTTTGTATGAAATGCTAAATTAATTTTATTATTTGACGTCTATTGAGTCACCTATGGATTTACTTCTATCCCTAGGCTTTTTTGAGTTTTTTGTCTGCCGCTAATGAAAAAGATGCACTTCAACTATCTCTATACATGCATATAAGGTTGTATATCATAGCCGCTTGAAAAAAAAAAAGGTATTTTAGGTCAAATAAAACCAACAAAAGGTGTTTTACTTTAAATACGTTACGTTTATTATGTATTTAGGTTCTTAAAATACATAAAAGTTACATATACTTTAAATAAATATATTTGAAATAACCATTCTCTATAGAGACATTATAAAGACTTTAATTTAATTTAATTTTCAATATTTTAAATAAAAGGATGATTTTTACTTAAATATCTCTTTGATGATCTCATTCAATGAGCCTCATTGCAACCTTATAATCTTCATATTATATTTTTATATAACCAGACCGTCAGATATGACTGATATCTTGCTTTCTTTCTACCATTTGTAATTAAAACAAAGAAAACAATTCATACATTTTTACCAATCAATTCCCTATAAAAAAATTAAAAGGAAGATTAGGTGTATTTCAAATAAAAAACTTGTCATCAGGCTGAAAACTTTTGTTTTTTTTTTATTTAGAAACAAAGGGGGCGGCAAACACCCTACCGTCTATATTATTACGGCAATACAATTTTATCTATTTTTTTCTTACAAAAATAAACTAATAATATTGATGATATTCATGTTTTTATTAAATATGTATATCCAAAAAACCGAATAAACAAATCTTGATGTAGGGGTAGCGAATGTGTGTGTATATTAAAGATAATAAGGTAAACGAACTGAAGTGGGGAATACTTGATTGCAAATATCTATATAGTTGATAGAAAGTTCTTGAATCGAGTTGTGAATTGAAGTTGGTTAGTTATTGTGTTGGTGGCCGGTGAACGTAGGAAGTGCGGGTCAATATGAAGTATTTGTTAGTGCTTACAGGTTATTTTATACACATTTTTGGACATTTTACGTACGGAGAAGAAATAAGTAAGTTTAATTAAATATTATATCTTATAGTACTAAATAGTGTAAAATTTTTTTTCTTAAAATTATAGAAAGGAATTAATACAATTTTAATTAAAATGTAGTTTTTTAATAAAAATTGTTAAAATTTAAAAAAATGTCATTCATTAAATTATAAAGAAATGTATTGTAAACACACCAACTACCTAGTATAACCTTGCTTTATATTATTTATTTATATAAAGTTAATCAATTTAATGTATTTTATTAGGAATATTTATAACTATAAATGTACTAAATATTTTATAATTAACGCAAAAGAAAGACACATTTATTTAGTTATATGGTTTTTGTTTTGAAATGTATGCAAAAAGTTATGTATTTAATAAACAAAGGTAAACAATTGAAAAAATAAATACATTAGGATATAATTAAGTTCTAAGGATGCATAGAAAAAAAGAGGGTAATAGATTACAAAAATAAAAATACACAAGACAAAAGTCAAAATAATAAAATAAGTATTATTTTCTAGTAAATAATTAATAAAATAAAATATAACATCTTAAAGATGTAAAAAGTAAGGCTTTATTTTTTATCGAGTAAAAGTATTTTGTAGTATTTTTTATCGTTTTAAGTTGCAATAGGAAGATTGCAATTGCAATTGTTAAATAAGCCGTGTAGATTCAAAACTCTTTTTTTTTTTAATAAAAGAATATATATATATATATATATATATATATATATATATATATATATATACATAAATATATATATATATATATTTATAAATCCATTAGAAGTTTCTGGGGAACGAAAAAATACACTGGCGGCAAAAATTAGAGGATATTACAATATTTTATATTAATCATTTATGGGGCTTATTAAATTTGATATATTATAATAATTCGGGGTTTTTAAGAAATAAAAACAAAAATTTTAACAAAGGAATATTTTAATTTTGCTGTAAAAAAATTAATATTATTTTTATGTAAACATTGAGCATTAAATATTAAACATTAATAATGTGTGTGAGATCCGTGCACTTCCAATACTTCAGCTACTCTTCTTGGCATGCTAAGAATTAAGTTATCTAACTGATCCTGAGGAAGATTTTCCCATAATTGTGGTAAAATTCTCCTTAAATCATTCCTTGTTTGAGGTGGAGGATTGTGGTCATTTAGTGCTCTCTGGAGCATATCCCATGCATGTTCAATTGGATTCAGGTCAGGAGAGTGAGCAGGCAGCATAACATGTTCAATCTCCAAGTTTTGTAACGCTCTTCGTACCTCAAGCGTTCTGTGGGGAGGAGCATTGTCGTCTAAAAACATGAAATTTTCTCCAACGTCTTGACGAATTGGCGCTACAATGTTCTGAATAATGTCACGCGCATACACTACTCCCGTCATATTATTTTCACAAACATAAAGTCGTGTACGGCGCCCCAATGCGATTCCTGCCCAAACCATTACAGTGCCACCTCTAAAGGGATAGATTTCCTGCACGTAACTTCTGTGCCTGGCTGTTCTATTATTCCTCCATACTCGAATGCGTCTTGAGTCACTGTGTAGACCAAAACGCGACTCATCAGAGAACAGCACAGAATTCCACTCTACATCCCAGTTTCTTCTTTGACGAGCCCACTGTTGACGCTGCCTCCTGTGCCTTTGTGTAAGAGATACACCTCTAAATGGCCGTCGAGCCCTCAATCCAAAGCCATATAAACGATTTCTTACAGTTCTCACTGACACAAGGGCTCCAGCGGCGTCTTGAAGTTGCTGCCGAAGTTGAGTTGCCGAAATTGTGGGGTTCCGTCGAACTGTTAATTCGAGATACCGGTCTTGTCGTCGGGTCGTACTTCTTCTACGGCCCTGTCCACGTCTTCTAGCTGTCGATCCGGTATCAGTGAATCTTCTCCAGAGTCTGCTAATAACACTTTGGGACGTTCCTAGCTGCTGAGCAACATCCACTTGACGCATACCTGCTTGTAACATTCCAAGGGCTCTATTTGCGTCGGCAGGTATTAAATGTCTTAAGGGCATTGTAAATTTAAAATAATTAATTATAATTAATAATTATTAAACACGTTTAAAGTGAACAAAACGATGTTTACTACTGAAATAAAAAAACATGAGAATTTGCTTAGAATAAAAAAAATATTTTTTGCTGCATGAATAAAGAAAGCATAATAATTGTTTGTGTATAATACACATTTATAAGGTTGGTTTAAATTATAGTATTACAACCATGAGCAAAATATTGGATACTTGAAATTTACCAATATCCCCTAATTGTTGCCGCCAGTGTATATTAATTTGGAGTTTTAAAATCGTTTATAATCCACTTAAAGTGAATAGTTTTTGGGTTATTAATTTTTTGTTGTTAAAATTTGACAAATGCTTTAATAAATTTTTTCTTATTAGGTTTGCGGATATGGAACATTGTCTAAAAGATTCCATGTCAATTCTTTAACATTTTTAAACAAATTACCCAAGAAAACCCAGAGCAAATTAGGCTACCTTGAAAGGTTTTTTTATTTTAAATGTAACATCCCGTATGTTTTTACATAAAAAAATAGTAAATTCAAAAATCTGCCGATTGATGTTACGATTCCTTATACCTAAAGTTAATAATTTCAGATATTTAACAATTCCTAAAATTTTAAATATTATTTTTTATCAAAAAACCTTTGAGGGGTGAGTTGACAGTAACTATGGTTACTTATGGTTATGGTTATTTTAACTTTAATAGCGTCAATTTTTCAGGTTAATATAAACAATATGTTGAATAATTAAGTGTTTTGTAAACAATATTACTGCTATAAAATAGCAGTCACTGACTTATAAAACAATTGTTGGTTTAATCAATTATTTTTATTAAAATATTTCATAAAATTGTCTCCAATGAGCTATTGCTTCATCTAGTTGACATCCTTCCGCTTTCTTAATTTTGTTTCGGAATTAGCAAAATCTGCTTGTAAAACTTTTAAATTTTAAAAATGTTTGGCTTGTCTATTTTTTTATAAGTTTACTTTTTATCAGTAATTTAATTTACCCTTTGATTATGTAAAAGCATGCCTAGTGGATATGAATCATGATTTTTTTTTAATATATATATACTACAACTACTAAATATTTTTAAACTTAATATTGACAATTTCTAGTTTTTTAATTATTAACCTTGAATTATTTTTAATAAAATAACATAAATATAATTAAATTTTTCATGGAAGCGTTTTCATAACAAAAAACAATTGTGGTAATAGCTTATTTAATTTATTACTTTTTATCCTAACTTATACTCGATATATTTCTAGTCTAGTTAAAGAATTAAATACTTTTAATAAATAGTTATACTCGTTTAAAAATTAACATTAACGACATTAAATTATTACGAAATATGATAATAAATTAATTAACCCGACAGACATACTCTAATAATTGTAGTTGTCGAAAGTGATTAATTTTAGCTTTTGTTTTGTTTACTTCCCTTTCCAAATTTATTAAATGTTAATAGGTACCGCTCAATTAAATTTTAAGCTTGTCCTGTTTTTGGTTTTTAAGCACATTATGCCATTAAGAATAATTATTTATAACTGGCAACAGGGTCGGATTTTACACTTAATAATCAGATAACTGAGTTTTTTTATCCTGTCAATTTAGAAATTGATATTTAGCTATCCAATCGAATTGTAGGTATTTCTACTTTTTTCAAAATAGAAGACATATCGGGCGCAAAAAAACAGTCCAGTCTCCAATTTTGAGGTTCTAAAAGAAATAAAAAAAAAAAATTAAAAAAAATTAAAAATTTCACATTTTTTGCGGATATTACAGAATTAACAATTCAAATTAGTAAAATTCTTTATTTTAAAACATTTTCGGAATAAAATTTTGAAAAAATTCACACATATTGTGCGACTAGTGGGAGAAATTGTTATGAATTTTCGACAGATCTTCGCAACGTAAAGAAAACATGACTAGTAACTAGCCAGTTACCGTTTAGTAACTGATTAGTTACTTTTATTAAATTTATGTCAAAAAATGACAGATGTTATATTGTCCCCCTTAAAAGGGCGTATCTCATATTTAACAATTTTACAAAGCATTTTAAATAGGTATTGAAAGTTTTTAGCTAATTATAATATATTTCTGAAAAAAATGTGACACTAAGTATTTTCACGTCCCGACAGGTAAGTCGAATTTTTCGTCGATCAGTCGTGCGGTTTCATGCGCAGTAAAGAAAAAAATTAAGCAAATGTTGTTCTTTAAGTATTCTTTTTTATCAGATCTTTTAAAAATGGCGGATTTTCCAAAAATCATTTTTTTATACAAAAATGTTTTTTAAAGATATAATTTTTTAAATACAAATTTCTAAAAAAATGTATTTTAAAGGAATGTGTGAATTTTTTGAAAATTTTCCAATGTTTAATTTTAGAAATATTTTAAAACATAGAAACTTACTAATTTCCATGGTTAATACCATACTATGACGATGTAAACCTTTGGTATTAGCAGAAATATATATTATTATTATTATTATAACATTATGTAGTATCATGGTTTAAATTGTAGAATCCGCAAAAATGAAGAAAAAGTGCTAAAACTTTTTGGGTTATTTTATTGACCCCAAAAATATAAAGCAAATAGGAAACAGCACCAGTTTTCTCTGCCGAAATGTCGTGAAATCCATGTATATGTGTCATTCCACAAAATAACTCAAATTTTGTCTTATTTTCTGAAAATAATATAATATAAGTATTGTTGTACAAACCTACTAGCTTATGTCACAAAAACATACATAATATGTATACATATTATGTTAAATAACCTAATTTTTTAAAAGATAATTATTGCCTTATTATTTAATTGTATTTAAACAGAAAATAACCCAATCGTGAAAATAACATATTTTATTTAAAAAATTCTTGGCTTTCAGAAAAAACATCAATTTTAAAATAAAAAATGCCGCCATGCGAGAAAAATCTTATTTTTCAATTTATTTCAATTATTGATAAGGGATACATTTTA